TCTTTTGGTAGATATCAGCAGCCGGCGGGCGGGCGCGAAAAAGCCGCTGTCTTTAGAGCTTACTGTAGTAACTTATGTGCTGTGTCGAACTTTGAGGTGTAGTGACTGAAACTTGTTAACCTGTGTTGTTTGATCGACTTTGAGATGTAGGGAGTTTGGAGCTTTTGTTAGCCAGTGTTCACTGTTGTGTGCGTGTATCACAGGGTATACAGTAATAAAATTTTATTTTCCTTTTTTCCCCCTTTTATAAGTTCTAATCGTGATTATTTTAGTTTTTTATTGAGCCAAAATACAAAAATAATCCCAAGGGATTATTTAAGAACTACAAATATGACGGTTATTTTACATGTACATAGATTGCGACTAGGGCACCAGAAAATTGGGGTAAATATAAAAATGAAATGGGGATTGGAGGTAAATTGTATAATTTTCTCATAATACATTATTACTATACGTCTTTGTAATATACCAGCTAATTTTAGAAACCATTCAGAAACCCCGTCACATTCATTTATTATCACACATAATACACCCACACCACCACAAAACTAAAAACCTACCCAACAACAATCACTTCACACTAAACACATTTCTCTCCTTAATTTTCACAGGCAAACCACCCTTAATCCTCAGTGTCAATGACAGCAAATACTCAGGGCACTTCCCCTTCTCCAACAACACATCCACACTAAACCTCTCCAAAACACACGCCGCAATCGACTTCATCTGTATAAAAGCCATGTCCTTCCCGAGGCACATCCTTGGCCCGGCGTGAAAAACCGGATACTTAAACGGGCTTTCTTGTCTGCACACACCATTCTCCTCTATCCACCTCTCGGGCTTAAACTCACAACAATCCTCCCCCCAAATACTCTCCATCCTTCCCATTGCATACGTATCATACGAAATGAACCAACCTTTACCGATAAATGTGCCATCTGGCAACATATCGTCTTTGAGGCAAGCTTTCGTGTCGACTGGGACAGGAGGGTACAGCCTCATGGCCTCGGAAATCGCTGCGTGAAGATAATGCATTTCACGGAGCTCGTCGAAAGTATAATAATAAGTCCCCCTCCCGCCTGTCGATTTACCGTTTTGCCCCCGGATTTTTTCGAGTTCTTGCAGGATTTTATGTTCCACGTCCGGTTTCGAAGAGAGCAGCCAGAAGAACCAAGAAAGTGCTGACGAAGTCGTGTCGCGACCGGCTAGGATGAAACTGATCACGATGTCCCTAAGAAATTCGGGTGAAGTACTTTTTTCGACGTTCGAATTAATGATAAACCTCGACAGCAAATCTTCGCCTTTTTTCCCGATTTTCTCGTCGTCCTCCATTCTAGTTCTTATGATCCTATCGGCAAATTCGTGCACTTTGGCTATGGATAACCGCAGGTTTTTCTCCGAGCCCAGATCGAAAAACTTCTTGATCGAGAAAATGCTCGGCAGAGCATACATGAATCGGCCAGAGCTGAGATTCGAAGCCTCGTCAAAAGCTCGCATGAACTCGCTGCCTACGGTTCCATCTCCACCGAGGCAACTCGGGTCGACATCGAAAGCGACTTTACATAGGTTGTCGAAAGCGAACCTTTCGAGGATGTCCTGAAAATCAAGAACTCGGTCGGTTTTGGCCGAGCTCTCAAGGACTGGAACTAGCCGGGATTTCAGCTCGAACACGACGTTCTCCATTACGAAATTACGGAGGGATTTCGTGTTGAACTCGTAGCTTGCTGTCTTTCGCTGGATTTTCCACAGTTCCCCGTCGGAGTTGAAGATGCCTGAAGCAAAAATTCAGTGATAGGTTTACAGACTACTCAATGAATAAACTCAGAAAGTAAAAGCTGATTTCGATCAAAGATTCGATTTTTTTTTTAACAGATGATCTTCTTTTTTTCTACTTTATTCACAGAATCGAGTAAAACGACGACGTAAATGTACCTGTTCCAAGAAAATCCTGCAAAAGGAACCTAAAGCGGGCGCCTTTAGGGAAGTTTTCGAAGTGGGACTTGAGCATGTGCTCGACGACTAGAGGGTTGGCGGTGATGACGCCGTGGATTTTTCCGGGGCGGCGGAAGACGGCGGTGTTGGTGGGGCAGCGGGCTAGCACCCCGGTGGTCCATTCGAGGAAGCGGTGGCGGTTGCGGATGAAATCGGGGAGGGTGCCGATGAGCGGGTAGAATCTGAAGCCGTGGGGGGCGGCGCCGGAGATTTTGTTGGGTTTACGGCGGAGGAGGAAGATGAGGAGGTAGAGTAAGGCGAAGGAGATGAAGATGGTGGTTTGGGGAGAGAAAGTGAGCTCCATTTCTTGATTTTTGTTTGGTTTTCTTTTCTCTCTTTTTGGGCGTCGTTTGTGGGTGAAAGATTGGATGAGAACTAAAGCGGTATCAGATAGAGAGTTGGCCGAAAGGACGATATTTCACACTTTCTGTATGTTGTTACTTGTTATTACTTGTACGAATATCTATCTACAAGATATTTATTTATTAATATTTATAAATGAAAAAACTTATTAAATATTATTTATAAATTAAAAATATAGAATCAATACAATTTATCTATATTGGTTTATTGAAAATATTATATGAAATTTAAATTTTACAAAACTACATAAAACATATTTATTTTAAGTATACAACTCGTATGTTGCATGTAATTCATAATAAAATACATTATATTTATTTAAAATAAGTGTAATTTTAATTTTTTATTCATAAATTTTTTGACTACAATGTGATTCCATAAAATAATTATTTTGGTAAAATTTATCATATATTTAAAAATCTATGTGAATAATAAGTATAATTATAAAAAATGTATATCATTTCATTAATTAAAATGAATATATTTTTTTTTTATAAAATATCCAAATCAAAAAATTTAATTAGTTGAGTAATTTATTATACTATAAATAATTCACTATTCTATTTACGTCCAAGTCAATATTGACCCGTAAGTTATGAATAATTACTTATATGACTTTTAAATATGGAATCTAAATTTAGACTATACTGTATATATTTCTCTTATCTTGTAATTGTTTAGTTTTGTTGTCGGTTACCTTATTGTTCAAATTTATCAAATAAATTTTCAAAATTCAATTACTAATTTTAAATTTTATTAACCAATATTTATTCAAATATCTTTCTGATTTTTGAGAGGAATATTTACCAATTTATCAAATTATAATCAATGTCTTATGTCAAGTTTTTAGGGAATGTGCTAAAGTTTGATAATCATATCATCTTGATTTTATAACAAATTAACTTAAAAATCGACTTTCATACCATACCAAATAAAATTAATACCACTTATTTTATTTCAAAATTTTTATAATACAATTAAAATTTAATCATTTTCTATCAGAATAAAATTCGCCCACTGTATGCCGTAAATTCGGAAAATATATTAATAACAAACATTTTCTACCAAAAAATAATGGTCATTAGATACCTCAAATAAAATCACCCACTTTACACTAAAACCTTATTTATTGATTTTATCAATTTTATACCATAAATTGATAAATTAATTTCTAGAGGAGGGATGTTTTGAAAATTTACAAAAAAAATAAAAATAAAAAAAAATTATCAAGTTTTGTAGTTTTAAAAATTTTAGGTGGGATTTTAGTTTCTATTTTAGGTAAATACAAACCTTTATATATATAGTTAGAGAGATTTGCATCAACAATTGTGATAAAATAAGGAACTAGATAAATTATAAATATTAGCCTATTTAATATTTTTATTATAATATATATATATATATAATTATATATCCACATTGCATATAGCATCTTGAAAATTTTATTTAAGTAGAATGTCACATTTTAATTTTCAATTAGATGTTGTTATATGGATGTAATGGTTAGTAGTAAGTCATACTTTTTCAACCCACGAGTGCAGTTATAAGACAGCTTAACCATTAGGCAGTTTAACTTTCCTATGAAAAATGCATCTTTATTATATAGAATGTCATACTTTTTATATTTATATTTAATTTTAATATATGATATTCGAGTATAAAATATGTAAATATGTTGGAAGAATATGATTGTCTAATGGTTTGGCAACCTGACAGAACAATTACCGTTTCTACATGTATATATATGTTATACTATAAAAAAACAATATAAATAAATTATTACATTTCTCATAAATAATATTTTTGTTAAATAATTATAATAGGGCACCCTACCTGGGGCAGGATTGACTACAAAATATGAACGACTGAATAATATCAACAAAATTAAATATATCAATTATTATCACGTATCACATCGACTTTAATTTACTGTTCAATCGGTCACATACTTTTGACTACATATCATTTTGAATTACTTTTCTCCTACTTTTATATCACATCAATTTTAATTTTTACATTTTAGATATTATTTAAATACAAAGTCAAAAACTTACACAATCCTCCACCTAATCAAATTTATTCAAAATTAATTACTTTAAATAAATCCAATTAAAATAAATTTTATTTATATCCAATTGTGTCCTTAATATTAGACAGTTTCACACAAAATTAAATTTCCACTTAAAGGTCGCTCGTAATTTCAACTTCTATAATGATGCAGGACTATGAACATTTCATACAGTGAAGTACATTCCATAGTATATAATATTGATGCATGAGATTGTGTATGATTTATTCACAAAGGCATGAGATGATATTTCTCACGCTTTTGACTGCACAATAATGTATATTGGTTGGTTGAACATATTTTTTGCCTCGTGATAATATTCTCAATATCTTTTTAAAAGAATGGGTGGTAAATTTATTTTGTTAAAATCTCAATTATCTCTTTTTTGAATCTCTTGAAAATTACTATTCTTGTCATTTTCGGTACCAAAGTGTAAGAAACGGAAAGTAGGACCTTTCTTTTTCATTTTTTCAACTTAAAGTTAAATGATTGTAAAAGAAAAGTTTTATGATAATCATTCGGTTGTATTGTGAGTATAACAGGATTAACCCAATATTTTGAATCTAATTTCATTTAGTTGTCAATATAATAGACTTAAATCTTGCATGATTTGAAGAAAATAAAAGAAATAATAAATCATACTTGTGTCGATGCAGTTTCTTGAAGTTGAGTTTAAAACTATGTAGACCCAAGTAAATAAGACTGATTCTATTAAAATACTAATTTTTATGGGAGACACAGACTTTAAACTCACTTCTCAAAAATATACCAAATTGGAGATATATTCAACTTTTTTACATGTCTGTATGCGTAACAAAAATATTGAAAACCTACTATTTTAAACAGTCTAATATCGAGAACGATATCAAAATAAAGGAAACTTTTTGGCATCATATTTTTCAAGATGGGACCAATTCAGTCCTATATCCGATTCAGGAAAATTCAAATTTTTTGCACACATAATATCATATTTGACTGTAATCCACTAGGGCCTCTCTTACTTTAGTTGATAGGATATGATAATTAAAATTATTTAAGATTAGCTCGGGTCTACTTCGTAGGATTAGACAAGATTTATCTTTTGTGGCGTACGTGTGGCATATGGGTTCCACAAACTTATCATTTATTGGCTGATAATTCCATCCCGGCCACCCCTTGAGATTGTGTTATCCCAAGCCGACTTTGACTATTTTATCCTCATTTTTGCTTGCGAAAAGACAAAAATATCCCTCAATGTCAGATTATTTACGTACCACGAATGGAAGGGTAAATTAGACATTCGAAGTTATATCATCTCATTTAGTCCATGATAGTAATGCTTGACTAGTTGCAGAATTTTGCATCCCATAATGTAAACAGTAGACAAAATGCTGACATATAAAGTTGGAGTATAATGTCCAATTCTGTCCAGCAAAATAAATGAGGTCTAGAAGGCTATATTGGATCTTCAAATAAGTTGGGCCATTTGGGCCTCCTATTTGGATAAATATAATTATGAATATAATTATGAATTGGGTCATTAACATAATAGTAATGTATTGGGTCAAGGATATGTACGGGCTCATCTTAGTAACACCTTCAGAATATCAAATTTTGCTATTTCGAGCAAAGGGTACATTAATGTACTCTACTTTTTTTTTTTTCTTTTACCAAATACTCTTATATGTCTTGATTTCTAATAAAGATGAGAGACTAGTGAATAAAAATGGCTATGAAAGCTAGAAGAGTTCTTCTTAAACTTGAATTGGGTTATTTTGCCTAACCATGTACAAGCTAGTTTATAGCCTAACCATGTACAATTTTATTTATTTTGGATTAATATAAATTGATAGTAAAACTATCGTAAGGTATTCGTACTTTTTTTACTTTTTTTACAACGGTAGATCTTCTGTTACACTACCTTATAAGTTATATTATGATTAGACAATGATACTTTTAACAAATGCACATATTTTCATACCTAAATGTTAAAGCTTATATTACAATGCAAATAAAGTATGATAATTTAAATTATAAATTTGTAATTTTCATAAAAAGTATGATTGTCTAATGATTAGTCTGTCTAACAACATTTTTTGAATTCGTATTATTGTAATGTTTGTCTGACTGTATCCACGGGGACTGACACATTATCGCAATTGACCAAATTTGGAAGCAACTCAATACATCCTTTAGCTATGGTGATAACAATGAGCACTCCAAAAAGCTTCAACAGGAAAAGAAGTATATCAAACTTATCACCTTTGTTCATGAAAAAATGAAAAGAAAGAAAAGAAAGAAAATTCCAATTACACGTGAGGTACACACATTATATGTTTCTTATTAGATGAACCACAACACAAAAATGAGTCTTGATTCCTTTGCGTGAGGGTATCTAGAATCTTCAACAATTACACAAATGGCCCAAAAATTGAGAATAAATTGCATTTACTCCAATGGAATTAGATAATACTAGAATTTAAAGTTGGAGATAAGGTCGCCCTTTGTAAAAGGGAACTGGTGCCATTAGCTAGATATTATGAAAGGAAAACAAACAAAAGAACTTTCCATGCTCATTGGAAAGACTTAATTCAATTATTGCAATAATTAGTAATATACTAATATAATAAAATGAGATGGATCATGCCCCATTTTCAAGATATCAATGTTGAACATTTAACAATAACATTTGAAGTTAATATTTATCTTTTAATTAGATAAAAAAGAAGCAAGGAGATTGAGAGGTTTCATATCTAATACCAAATTACCAACGCGTCAAATAAACCGATAAAAAATCGAGCCTTTGTTACGTCGCTAACGAAATAACTTCAATATTATTATAATCGACCTGTTAACAAGAGTCTACTACAAGAGATGTCATATCAATAGCAAATTTTGATATTTAATTAGTTTTAAGCTTGGGCCTTCCCTTATAAGTAACTACTGCTGATCAGGTTTTTTTGATTAACCCTTTTATGAGCTTATTAGTGGCAAAAAAAGAGCACAGAAAAAAAATA